CATTCTGCCAGTGTGTAGTTCCCCTGTTCTGCCCACTGAAAGTGTGGGTGGGCAAAAGTCCCACTGGCAGGATTCCTAACGGTGATAGCCCATTGAATGCCCCAGAGACCAACTTGGCTGTGAGTCCTGGAAGACCTGCTCCCAACCTTCTTCTCTTCAAGAAGTTCACAGCCAAATCAAACAATATCCGCAAAGATCACAATAAGACCTAAAAATAAAGATACAAAAAACAAATAGCAGTTCTTCTTCTTCTTCTTCTTCTTCTTTGGCGATCACTCGTAGCCGAGTAAGATTGTTTTCCATAAACACGGTTTTAACAGTGAGTCCGTAAGTGACTATGGAGGCCAATTCTGGATCCACACGTCCTTCCACAGTGGGGACATTGGTTTCTGTGTGGGAGTTGATCACGGTGTGGATTTGCCAAGCGTGCCTTCCTCTTAGTACGTTTCTCCCTTGCGTCCTGAGTTCGAGTGTCTTCAAAGCCCATGACATCTTTGGTAAAGGCTGTTCTCCAATTGGAGCGCTTGCAGGCAAGTGTTTCCCAGTTGTCAGTGCTTATACTACATTTTTTAAGATTTGCCTTGAGACAGTCTTTAAACCTCTTTTGTTGACCACCAGCATTACGCTTTCCATTTTTAAGTTGGGAATAGAGTAGTTGCTTTGGAAGACGATCATCAGGCATCTGCACAACATGACCAATCCAACGAAGCTGATGTTGAAGAATCATTGCTTCAACACGGGTGATCTTTGCTTCTTCCAGTACACTGGTATTAGTTCAAACAACACCTCACCCAGGAGTCTGTTCAGCTGCCTCAAGCTTTAGTAGCTGGTGTCAGTCAGGGCCTCCCTTCCCTTTCAGGCCAGGTGGGAAAAGGCCTTGGCAAAGCCGGGGGAGATTCTTTACTTACAGTTTCTTCATATTTGTGAGGATGGTTTCGGATTCAAAGCTCGCATGGTGGGAGCTTGTTTCTCTCTCTCTTAAAAAAAATATTTTTATTGAGTTGTACATAACCAATTTGAATCCAAACATTATACACCAACATCATCATTTGTTGTTGTTGTTTGTTGTTGTTTAGTCGTTTAGTCGTGTCCGACTCTTCGTGACCCCATGGACCAGAGCACGCCAGGCACTTCTGTCCTCCACTGCCTCCCGCAGTTTGATCAAACTCATGCTGGTAGCTTCAAGAACACCATCCAACCATCTCATTCTCCGTCGTCCCCTTCTCCTTGTGCCCTCCATCTTTCCCAACATCAGGGTCTTTTCCAGGGAGTCTTCTCTTCTCATGAGGTGGCCAAAGTATTGGAGCCTCAGCTTCAGGATCTGTCCTTCCAGTGAGCACTCAGGGCTGATTTCCTTCAGAATGGAGAGGTTTGATCTTCTTGCAGTCCATGGGACTCTCAAGAGTCTCCTCCAGCACCATAATTCAAAAGCATCAATTCTTCGGCGATCAGCCTTCTTTATGGTCCAGCTCTCACTTCCATACATCACTACTGGGAAAACCATGGCTTTTACTATACGGACCTTTGTTGGCAAGGTGATGTGTCTGCTTTTTAAGATGTTGTCTAGGTTTGCCATCGCCTTTCTCCCAAGGAGCAGGCGTCTTTTAATTTCGTGACTGCTGTCACCATCTGCAGTGATCATGGAGCCCAAGAAAGTAAAATCTCTCACTGCCTCCATTTCTTCCCCTTCTATTTGCCAGGAGGTGATGGGCCCAGTGGCCATGATCTTTGTTTTTTTGATGTTGAGCTTCAGACCATATTTTGCGCTCTCCTCTTTCACCCTCATTAAAAGGTTCTTTAATTCCTCTTCACTTTCTGCCATCAAGGTTGTGTCATCTGCATATCTGAGGTTGTTGATATTTCTTCCGGCAATCTTAATTCCGGCTTGGGATTCATCCAGCCCAGCCTTTCGCATGATGAATTCTGCATATAAGTTAAATAAGCAGGGAGACAATATACAGCCTTGCCGTACTCCTTTCCCAATTTTGAACCAATCAGTTGTTCCATATCCAGTTCTAACTGTAGCTTCTTGTCCCACATAGAGATTTCTCAGGAGACAGATGAGGTGATCAGGCACTCCCATTTCTTTAAGAACTTGCCATAGTTTGCTGTGGTCGACACAGTCAAAGGCTTTTGCATAGTCAATGAAGCAGAAGTAGATGTCTTTCTGGAACTCTCTAGCTTTCTCCATAATCCAGCGCATGTTTGCAATTTGGTCTCTGGTTCCTCTGCCTCTTCTAAATCCAGCTTGCACTTCTGGGAGTTCTCGGTCCACATACTGCTTGAGCCTTCCTTGTAGAATTTTAAGCATAACCTTGCTAGCATGTGAAATGAGTGAAATTGTGCGGTAGTTGGAGCATTCTTTGGCACTGCCTTTCTTTGGGATTGGGATGTAGACTGATCTTCTCCAATCCTCTGGCCACTGCTGAGTTTTCCAAACTTGCTGGCATATTGAGTGTAGCACCTTAACAGCATCATCTTTTAAAATTTTAAACAGTTCAGCTGGAATACCATCACTTCCACTGGCCTTGTTATTTGCAGTGCTTTCTAAGGCCCATTTGACTTCACTCTCCAGGATGTCTGGCTCAAGGTCAGCAACCACACTACCTGGGGTGTACGAGACATCCATATCTTTCTGGTATAATTCTTCTGTGTATTCTTGCCACCTCTTCTTGATGTCTTCTGCTTCAGTTAGGTCTTTACCACTTTTGTCCTTTATTATGGTAATCTTTGTACGAAATGTTCCTTTCATATTTCTGATTTTCTTGAACAGATCTCTGGTTCTTCCCATTCTGTTGTTTTCCTCTATTTCTTTGCATTGCTTGTTTAAGAAGGCCTTCTTGTCTCTTCTTGCTATTCTTTGGAAATCTGCATTCAATTTCCTGTATCTTTCACTATCTCCCTCGCATTTTGCTTGCCTTCTCTCCCCCGCTATTTGTAAGGCCTCGTTGGACAGCCACTTTGCTTTCTTGCATTTCTTTTTCATTGGGATGGTTTTAGTTGCTGCCTCCTGTATAATGTTGCGAGCCTCCACCCATAGTTCTTCAGGCACTCTGTCCAGCAAATCTAAATCCTTAAACCTGTTCCTCACTTCCACTGTGTATTCATAAGGGATTTGGTTTAGATTGTATCTTACCTGTCCAGTGGTTTTCCTACTTTCTTCAGTTTAAGCTTGAATTTTGCTATAAGAAGCTGATGATCTGAGCCACAGTCAGCTCCAGGTCTTGTTTTTGCTGACTGTATAGAGCTTCTCCATCTTTGGCTGCAGAGAATATAATCAATCTGATTTCGATGTTGCCCATCTGGTGATGTCCATGTGTAGAGTCGTCTCTTGTGTTGTTGGAAAAGCGTGTTTGTGATGACCAGCCTGTTCTCTTGACAGAACTCTATTAGCCTTTGCCCTGCTTCGTTTTGATCTCCAAGGCCAAACTTGCCAGTTGTTCCTTTTATCTCTTGATTCCCTACTTTAGCATTCCAATCCCCTATAATGAGAAGAACATCCTTCTTTGGTGTCACTTCTATAAGGTCTTGTAAGTCTTCATAGAATTGGTCAATTTCAGTTTCTTCAGCACCAGTAGTTGGTGCATAAACTTGGATTACTGTGATGTTAAAAGGTCTGCCTTGGATTCGTATCGAGATCATTCTATCATTTTTGAGACTGCATCCCAGTACAGCTTTCGCCACTCTTTTGTTGACTATGAGGGCCACTCCATTTCTTTTACGTGTTTCTTGCCCACAGTAGTAGATATGATAGTCATCCGAACTGAATTCGCCCATTCCTGTCCATTTTAGCTCACTGATGCCCAGGATGTCAATATTTATTCTTGCCATCTCATTTTTGACCACATCCAACTTACCCAGGTTCATGGTTCTTACATTCCAGGTTCCTATGCAATATTTTTCTTTACAGCATTGGACTTTCCTTTCGCTTCCATGCATATCCACAACTGAGCGTCCTTTCGGCTTTGGCCCAGCCGCTTCATCAGCTCTGGATCTACTTGTACTTGTCCTCCGCTCTTCCTCAGTAGCATGTTGGACGCCTTCCGACCTGAGGGGCTCATCTTCCAGCGTCATAACTTTTATATGCCTGTTGTCTTTGTCCATGGAGTTTTCTTGGCAGGGATACTGGAGTGGCTTGCCGGTTCCTACTCCAGGTGGATCACGTTTGGTCAAAACTCTCCACTATGACCTGTTCATCTTGGGTGCCCTGCTCGGCATAGTTCATAGCTTCTCTGAGTTCTTCAAGCCCCTTCGCCACGGCAAGGCAGTGATCCATGAAGGGGAACATCATCATTTAGGATTCCCTAAATCCTTTGACTCCCCTCCACCCTTCCATGGTTACCATTATCAGTCCCCCCCCCCTGCAACTGCTTCCCTCATTTTCTCTATTTTTAAAAACAAATAATTCATTGTTACCATAGTTCCTCATATATTACAAGCATTACTCAAATCCTGCCATAGTTTTTAGTTGTTTACAGTGTTCTCTTAAGTACATTGTAAATCTTCTCCATTTCTTCTTAAAGTTCTTCTCTTCCTGGTTTCTGATTTGCCCGGTCAGTTTCGCCATTTCGGCATATTCCATCATCTTCATCAACCCTTCATCACTGGCAGAACTTTATCATCTTTCCATCTCTGGGCCAGTAGTACTCACGCTGCTGTTGTTGCGTACATAAATAGATGGGACCTAGTTTCTCATGGCTGCTTCATGGTGGAGGGAGAAAGAGAAAGGAAGAGGACAAGGTGGAGCTCGGGAGTTTGGCAGGAAGCCACAAATTATGGTGAAATAAGGTTGGGGGCACAGACTCCCATAATCTCTACACTCAGTGAAGGGTCGGAAATTGAGCTTATAAATGCATGGATTTAGCAAGGCCTAGGAATAAAACCAGCTAACCTCCTCATTAGGCCAGCCTGGTGATGGTGGGTCATAGAATCATAGAACTGTAAAGTTGGAAGGGACCATGAGGATCGTCTAGTCTGACCCCTGAGATGCAGGAATCTTTTGCCCACTGTGGGGCTCGAACCCACGACCCTGAGATTAAGAGTCTCAGGCTCCACCAATGGAGCTATTGTTGAAGAAGCAATGGCGCTGATGGCCAGCCCTTAGCCCTTTATGGGAAGTCATCAACCAGGCAGAAGTCTCCACCAGACGAGAAAGAGGAGGCTATTTCAGGGGACGTAATGTCACCACATGGCAAATAGAAGGGGAAGAAATGGAGGCAGTAAGAGATTTTACTTTCTTGGGCTCCATGATCACTGCAGATGGTGACAGCAGTCACGAAATTAAAAGACGCCTGCTTCTTGGGAGAAAAGCAATGACAAACCTAGACAGCATCTTAAAAAGCAGGGACATCACCTTGCCAACAAAGGCCTGTATAGTTAAAGCTATGGTTTTCCCAGCAGTGGTGTATGGAAGTGAGAGCTGGACCATAAAGAAGGCTGATCGCCGAAGAATGGATGCTTTTGAATTATGGTGCTGGAGGAGACTCTTGAGAGTCCCATGGACTGCAAGAAGATCAAACCTATCCATTCTGAAGGAAATCAGTCCTGAGTGCTCACTGGAAGGACAGATCGTGAAGCTGAGGCTCCAATACTTTGGCCACCTCATGAGAAGAGAAGACTCCCTGAAAAGACCCTGATGTTGGGAAAGATGGAGGGCACAAGGAGAAGGGGACGACAGAGGACGAGATGGTTGGACACTGTTCTCGAAGCTACCAGCATGAGTTTGACCAAACTGCGGGAGGCAGTGGAAGACAGGAGTGCCTGGCGTGCTCTGGTCCATGGGGTCACGAAGAGTCGAACACGACTAAACAACTAAACAGCAACAACAAATTTCAGCACAGAAAAAAAAGTGGCTTTGGCAGGAGGCTTTTGAAACAGAGGTTGCCAGGCTGACCAGTGGCAGGGGAGCGGGGGCGATGCTTGAAGCAGAAGCGTAGGAGTTGCTTTCTGCAAAGGCTGCTGGGAAGTAGAAGCAGGAAGAAGAGGTGAAGCTAGCTGCTTCGGCACCTGGAGCAGCGCACGTTCTGTGCACCTGGGGGTGGGGCCATGGGGGCGGGGCGAGCATCCTAGGGGGGGGTCCGCCCATGGTGAGTGTCCCAGGGGGCGAGACGCCCATGGGGGTGGAGTGAGTCGCCTATGGCAGCCTGCTTCCTGAGCGGGGGGAGAGAGAGCCGCACCGCTTTGCCAGCAGCCTTCCCCCTTTCCCTCTTCCCTTTGACAGCTAGGGGGAGGCTTTCTCCCACCCCCCAGGAAGCAGCCCGGGAGCGGGGGAGGCAACAGCGAGCTGCCCGCCCACGACTCCCAAGCCTCCCCTTAGCTGACAAAATGAAGGGGGAAGGGAGGTGTTAGAATTCCTGCTCTGTAATTGCAGTCATGGGATTTTTGTCTATCACATGTCGGTGTATGTTTTGACTCCACAGAGTGGGAAGTAATGGAGACAGGATGTTTGTGTTACTGTGTTCCGTGAAGTGGGACTATTGTCCTTTGTTCTTTTTCTCTTTGCTGTCTGATGCTAGAGAGAGAGGGAGCCATGTTGCAGTGCTCCGTGTGTGTTTATATGTAAATAAAGTAGATTAGCCAAAATGCTGAGTTGCTGAGGTCTGTCACGTGATGACACCCAACTCTGTCTGTTGATGGATGGCCATCCTGACTCGGCCCCAGACACACTGACCAGATGTTTGGAAGCTGTGGCTGGATGGTTACGTGGAAGCCGGTTGAAGTTAAATCCTCCGAAGACAGAGGTCCTCTGGCTGGGACGGGACGATGTGGGATTGGGGGGGGCAACTCCCATCTCTTGCGGGGGTGCAATTAGTGCCAGCACCGTCCGTTAAGAGTTTGGGTGTAATCTTCGATACCTCCCTCTCTATGGAGGTGCAGATTACAGCTATAACAAAGGCGGCATTTTTCCATCTCTGCCAAGCTAAGCAGTTGGTCCCTTATCTCTCTCGCCCTGACCTAGCCACTGTGATCCACGCGACGGTCACCTCCAGACTGGATTATTGTAACTCGCTCTACGTGGGGCTGCCCTTGAGACTGACCCAGAAATTCCAGCGGGTGCAGAATGCCGCGGCGAGACTCCTTATGGGGTCTTCGCTGCGAGATCACATTCATCCGGTACTATACCAGCTGCACTGGCTCCCGGTGGAGTACAGGATCAGGTTTAAGGTGCTGGTTTTAACCTTTAAAGCCCTATACGGCCTAGGACCCTCGTACCTACGGGACCGCCTCTCCTGGTATGCCCCACAGAGGAACCTACGGTCTGCAAATAAAAACATCCTGAAGGTCCCAGGCCTCAGAGAGGTTAGGCTGGCCTCAATTAGAGCCAGGGCTTTCTCGGCTGCGGCTCCAATCTGGTGGAACGCTCTGTCACAAGACACTAGGGCCCTGCGGGACCTGACATCTTTCTGCAAGGCCTGCAAGACAAAGTTGTTCCACCAGGCCTTTGGTCAGGGCCCAGCCTGACTCCCTCCTCTGGCAACCTGCACAGAACTTTGCTTAACGGTTGCCATTAATTTGATTTTAATTAATTTTTATAATGAAATGTTTTAGAATGTTGGATTATTTGATTGTTTGATTATTTGATTGTTGTTAGCCGCCCTGAGCCTGGCTTTGGCTGGGGAGGGCGGGATATAAATAAAATTTATTATTATTATTATTATTATTATTATTATTATTATTATTATTGATGCGCAAACTCTGCGGATCCCTAAGTGTGCCGGTGTCGGTTGGCATCGGTCGCTGTGATGTTCAGGCAGGAGAAAGCTTATGAAGCTCTTGAACGATCGACCAGGAGAGAAGGAACATGCCAGTTGGGCATGTGTCTCTGCCAGGGTCCTACTTGAGTGTAGGCTCAACTCCTGACAGGGGGAAGACCACCGGCAAGGTGGTGTAGCTCCGCCCCTTCCCCTGACAGCTCAGGATAGGCTTGAGAGTCACGGGCAGGCGGCACGTCGAATGTCATCCCCCTCAGTGATGACACCTGGAGCGACCATCCCCCCTTCCTCCACCCCTGGCAGGAAGTAGACAGAACTCCATGCAGGGACTGAAGGGCAACAGCCCAGCTGGCTGGCTGGAGCAGGTTCTTACAGAAGGATATGTGGATGAAAACCAGAGGCTTTTTTTACTAGGAATTTTAGGTGCAGAGATATCAAAAGAGCAGAAACTATTATTTATGTATGCGATGACAGCAACATGGATACTACTGGCCCAGAGATGAAAAGAAGATAAAGTCCTGACCAGAGATGAATGGCTGATGAAGATAATATGCTGAAATGGCAAGAATGACCGGGAAAATCAGAAACCAGGAAGAGAGGAACTATAATAAGGAATGGGAAAAATTTACAATTTACTTAAGAGAACATTGTAAACAACTAAAAACTTTGGCAGGAATTGAGTAATGCTTGTAATGTACTAAAAACTAAGGTAAAAATGGATTATTTTAAGAAAAATAGAGAAAATATGTGGTGCAGTTACAAAAGATTGAAAATGGAAACCATGGAAGGGTGGAGGGGAGTCTAGGGATTCAGGGTATCCTAATTTCTGGTGGTTATGTCTAATGTTTGAATTTAAATGTGTAGTGTAAAACTGAATAAAAAAATTGTACAGATTAAAAAAAATGAAAGACATGGGGATGGCACTTAGGATGCCTCTGAATGCAATGTTGCGCTGCTGGGAAGCACAAGCCCCTCTGAAGATGTAAATACTGTGAACTCTCTCCATAATCTCAGGTATAAATGAGTGTCAATAAACCATATTTCTTAAAAACACCAGTCTCTGCTGTGCCTTGATTTCCCAATGAAAACACAACCCTCGTTAAGTGTCATGATCCATGGCCTGTAACAATATTATCTCTTGATTCTCTGTTAGTCTCGACCCTTTAATAAACCTTTTGCTTGAAATTTAACTTTTGTAATAGCAATGACAGGCTTTAAATGACTGCATTGTTTACCTATGGACAAGTGGGTATGATCACCACCTGTCAATCACATGTCATCATTATGATGCCAGGTGACAACAGCAGAGGTACTTTCTCAGCTGTTCAGTGCTGTCTGCAAGCCCCACTTGCTAAGTGACAATCCAGAGCATATTTGAAGCTTCTGCTTGTTCTTTAGCAGTCACAGCTTGATATGCTCCAAACCTGATGTCACATATGATGACAGGTATGGGGCAGGGAGGCATGGTTTGGAGAAAATGGCCTCAGAGGACTTCTGCTTGGCTTAATTTAGCTCTCAGGCCAGAGTTCCCCCTCTGAAGAGCAGCAGATCTTTAGAGCTTCCGACTTGGAACAGTTTCCAGATCTGCCTTGAGATGCCAGGAACTGAACCTGGGATCTTCTCCCTACAAAGCAGATGGTCTATCCCTGAGCTATAGTTTTTCACAAATGTGTTATTGCAGAGTATGTCCAACCTACTTCAGAAGGTGTTGCACTGAAGAACCCCACAGTGGATTGGCCTTTGCCTTTTTGCTATCTTTTTGCTATCCTTACAGGGTCCTCACTGCAAGATCACATTCACCCGGTGCTATACCAGCTGCACTGGCTCCCGGTGGAGTACAGGATCAGGTTCAAGGTGCTGGTTTTAACCTTCAAAGCCCTAAACAGCCTAGGACCCTCATACCTACGGGACCACCTCTCCTGGTATGTCCCACGGAGGAACTTACAGTCTTCAAACAAAAACATCTTGGAGGTCCCAGGCCACAGAGAGGTTAGGCTGGCCTCAACCAGAGCCAGGGCTTTTTTGGCTGTGGCTCTGATCTGGTGGAACGCTTTGCCACAAGAGACTAGGGCCCTGCGGGACTTGACATCTTTCCGCAGGGCCTGCAAGACAGAGCTGTTCTGCCTGACCTTTGGCCAGGGCACAGCCTGACTCCCTCCTTTGGCAATCTTCACAGAACTCTAGCCCCCAATGGTTGCCATCAATTTGATTTAAATTAATCTTATAACGAAATGATTTTAGAATGTTGTATTATTTTATTGTTGTTAGCTGCCCTGATCCCGGCTTCGGCTGGGGAGGGCGGGATATAAATAAATTATTATTATTATTATTATTATTATTATTATTATTATTATTATTATTTCTCTCGTGGTT